TTTTCTTCCCCCCCCCCCCCCCATCATTTTTTTTTTTTAATTTTCCCTTTTGTATTGAATGTCAGTTTTAATTTGTACTGTTACATTCATATTAAGTGGTCCAGCTGGCTGTGTGTGTAATCAGGATGTAGCTAAATTGTTAAACCTTTGAATTAAATTCTGGTCAGCATCTCCATAGTGCTGGTATTACCTTATTCTCACTGTCGTAATACATACATGCATACAGTTATTTGGCTAATGCTTGCTGTTTCTGCCCTTTTCATTTTTGGCCATATCTGGCTTGTGGACTCTGTAGCGGAAGGTGAAACAGGCAAGTGAGAGGGACTTCCGTTACCAGGTGAGTCTAAGCAAATTTTGGGGTGGCAGTGCATGTTTCCAAAACATAGTTTTCATTTGTTACAGATGCAGACCTTTTGTGGTAAAGTTCTTTACAGGGATTCAGAAATGTTATCTCCTTGTACTTTAACAAAAATATTTACCACACCAAGAAATGCTAAAAATAATATTCATATATTTCAATGAGTTATAGTGTGCTTAACGCTGTTTTTAAAAATGAAGTGCATTGTGTTTCCTGTGTATAGTGGCTTCTTAGTGCCTCCCAGTTCAAGACATGGATCCCTTTTCTATATCTGTCAAACAATGCAGAAAGCTTATTGCTTAAGTTATTATAGCATAAGTAATAAAGACTTGTTTTCAGAGTGTGTCATGTTGAAACTTGGGCTTAATGGCTTTCCTTACTCAGGTTGTACCTTTCTAACAATTCATGATCATCTTCAAATTCTGTTTGATGCTGTATAGCCTTTGTAGTTGAAAACCTAAGAATTAAAAAGTCAGTCCATTTTGTGTTTGTGTTGCTAGAGTATCATGCGAAACTTGGTTCGACGGTATGTGACCGTTGAGCAGCGCAAGGCAGAGGGTGAAGGGGTCACAGAAGATGATGTCAATGAGATTAAACAAGATATCTCGGCATTTCGTTGTGAACTTATTGAAATTCTCAAGAACTCTGGCATGAACACCTCCACAGCAACTGGCACAGGAACAGGTAATGCTTCTGGAACTGTGGATGTTATCAGTCTAATTCTTTCCTCTTTCCATGCTTTATCTCATTTTAACCACAAAGGCTTTATTTTATTTTATCAGTCCCATGCTATATTTTTTGTAATCCATGTAAGTAGCTTGCAAGGGCAGGGGTGAAGTTTGTTGTGGAGTGTTGAGAAATAAATGTGAAGTATGAAGTCTGAACTCAGGATATTGGGGAAGATGCTCAAGCAGAAATGCTGCAACAAAAATTGGTATTGACAAAGTTAACAACAGGATTCCTTTGAGAGCATCACATCCCCTGCCAACTGTGTTTCTGTACTTAATTCTTTTCACAAGACATTCAGAGGAAATGCTTTTTAAAGTTTCCTACTTATCCCTGGTTTACAATCACTGGCTCATCTGGTCAGTAAGTATTCGAAGATTTCTTACACTTACTTTTGACTGGAGAAATTTAAAATCTGCACTGATTAACAGGAGCTGGAGGAAAGAAGAACCGTCAGAAAGAGCGACGCCTGATGAAGGGCTTCAACATTGCACCAGCACCGTCGGGTACAAGCCAACTGCCAACTGTAGCTGAGTTTATGGCCAATTTGCAACAGCATCATGAGCATCATGTGTCCACCACACATCATCTTCATGATATCTTTGGTTCTACAACATCTGCCATATTTGGCAGCAGTGTCGGGGCAGGCTCCACACCAAAGAAGTCTCATCACCATCACCATCCCAACAACAACAACTCCTCCACTGGTGGTGGAGGGAATGGAGACCATCATACTCACCGTGGAGGCTTTGGACGACTTCCAAGGCTTCATATCAAGAGATCGTCTTCCCACAAACGCCGCTGGGGAACACTGATTGAGGCTGCAAAGTCAGGACGTGTTAGTAGGTTGATAGGCAGGAGTCGATCAGAAGATTCCGTGTGCAATAGTCATTGCAGGAATAATCACAACATGCACTGCAGCAATCACAGCCACAGCAACAGTCCTGCATCCGATGACATCACAGAATCACCATCTGATTCTAATCCAAGCTTGGCAGAAACTGTTACTCACAGTAGCATAGGGAGTAGCGCACTAGCAGCACTTAGAAAAAGGCGTAAGAAATTCTCAGCATCTAGAAATATAATGGCAAACAGTGGGAGCAATCCAATAGCTCCACAGGTATGTTGTGTCATAAAGGGAGGCAAAAAACAGCTTCAGCGAGCGTCCAGTGTTCCTACAAGAGCATCAGAAGTTGTCACGTTAATATCTCATTGCCATGAACAGACACAGTCCCAGCAACACTCAGTAGAATTAAGCACAGGTCAGAATGAGACTCTTACGCCGTCCACAACTGAGGAAAGTGTAGTTACGTATTCAGCAGGTGTTGGGGGTGGTGTAAGTTTGGGGTCTTCTTCCAGAGAGCCACTTTTAGCTTCAAGCAGTATGAATCCTGCTAATCATAACACACTATCACAGTGTTCTACACAGCAGCAGCAGGACTTGCAGAATAAATCACATAATGGATCCGTTGTAGTTTTGCCAAACTTGCCAGGAATTCAACCTGTAAGTGGGCATAATATGTCAGCAGGCTGGCTGTGAAATGTGAATGTCTGGGTAAGTGGCATCCTTATGTAAACATTACACAGGAAAGGCAAGACCATCCAGTACAAATCATATTCGACAGCTTGGAAATGGTCCATGAGAACTAAGCTAAAGTGAGCAAATTGCAAGTGAAGTATACATTTTAAAATTATTTTGAATTAACTGATTGTCCTACAATGAAAACAGTGACTTTAATTTTTGATTTCTTAAGTACTGATTATAGGCTGAGTCTGTAATTCTATCACTGTTGAAGTAATAAAGAAATTCATCTTAAATGTTTCATAAACTATGATGCACAGTTAATGCAGCAGCTTTGTAGATTCAAAGTTTCATCACCAAGCCTGGTTGTTAACCTTTACTGACCATGTGTCATGATTTATGAATGGTCCAGCTGGCAGTCTCACAGTACAAGGGTTTAAACTGTCTGGCCTAGTAAAATAAAGGTTAAGAACAGGACAGACATGATATTAAGATATTCCCATAGCAGTGAGATCTTGTGTTCTACAGATCCATGTTTTGGGGCTTCCAAAGCCAATATGCCCTTCATGAAATGTTTTTCTTCTTAGAATCTCAGTGTATGGTGGGGCCTTTTGGCCTTTGTTGGTCACACATAAAAGCATCAGGGATCACTTATGAACTTAGAATACAAATTTTCTTAGTTTATGTTTCAATTCATGCTAATGTAACTTGTGTATGGCAGTTATTTTCACCAAAATAAGTTTTTAAATTTGTATACTTCATTTGTGGAAACTTAATGTACTATCCTGAGCAGCACTTCTCTGTGAAAGTGTGTTACGCACACTTAACCATTCCTTATTTATTTCTCATATGCATGTTATATTCAGTGTGACTTGCAGTCATATCTTTCATCTGATTTGTACAGAAAAGTCCTAAGATGAAGAGTAGTGAACACACTGTACAGACAGTATGTTAGCAACATGTGTGCACTCTGAGCATGTGTACTTTCCTTGTTTACATATGGGTGATAGAGTAACAGTATTTTGTATTTATTTATTTTATTCAGAATTTACAAAATATATCCGCAGCATTTTCCTGGAGATATCCATCGTTTCTTTTGTTTATTTAACAGTCTGCTTCAGAACAGTCTTGCATATACTGAGGAATGAAATTGTATTCTGCATCTATTCTGGTGAATGTGATTCTTCAGGGCCAAGATGGTCAAATATTAATGGAGTTACCTAGTTCATCACATAGAAATTTGTTTATTATCTGTCAACTCACGTAATTTAATTAGTGCAAATTCATCATCAATCAACAGTGTGTTGTGAGTGTTAAAAATTATCTACCACTACTGTGCCATCACTGATGTAACCTTGTCTCAAACTTAACAGATTCATTATCATTGATTGTGGTCTTCTGGGCTGTGGTGCCATGTGGTCTTGTAGACAGTTGTCGATGTTCCGGAAGACAATAGTCAACATCTTCACCGCTGTCAGGACCTCAAAGCTACCATAATATATCTATACCATGGTATTACTGAAAACTAGCCAAGACATGATCCAGTGTACTTCAATTTTATACTGTAGTATAGTACTCATACATTCGATTTTCCACATCAAAAGACCTCCTGGAGTATTAGTTAGGAAAAATTAAAAGAAAAATAATTGAGTTGTTTTCAGTTGCTTCCAAAACTTGCATGAAAGCAACCGAGCATGAAAACAGATCCAGTCTTTTGTAGTTATGCAGTTATTTTTATAGTGTCAGATGATAGTTGAAAATGATTAAGAATTGAGGAGGAGGCGGCTATCTTACTTCGGTACTTTCCGAGAGAAATTTAGGAAACCACATTAAATCTCAGTTCGGTTAGTTGATCTTAGTATTTGTCTTAAATTCTGAATGTCAAGTTCTGTCTGTGATGTGGAGACATCTGATATTGTCCCTAAAATTTTACATGTAAATAACAAAAGTATTAACAATATGCTTATTTTTTGTATGCATAAATGCATATTTAGTGAGATTTTATATGACTCGTTTACATTTATTTATTAGATTTCTATCAGAGATAAGCTGGAAAAATTATTTTCCACTGAATGAACCCTCCAAATTTCTGTGGTTACTGGTTAGTAGGCATCATAGTTTTATGAGTGTGTCAATTCCAGAGGTTAGGTACTGCTTTGTCACTTCATCATTCTTTATAATTATATTGACACTTCTCTGTTTCATATTTCTGGCATTGGATGATCTTAAACAGCTTCTGTTGTGTTTTGTGGCCTTAAATTTGTATTCTTTTAAATTCATGTTTCTTTTGTTACCTCCACACCCCCTTTCCATTCACAGTGTTTCTTGGGCATGGGTTAGTAGTTTCATCAGTGTCACATTACAAACTAGCAAACTGGGTGGATCACCGAGAAGTACTAGTCTGGAGCAATGTTTCCAGTACAACACTCAAGGCAGGCATCATAACACCACTTCATTCTTAATTTGTGAACACCAATTAACCCTCTGAAGCACAAAGTTCATCAAAAGAACATGTGAGAATCCAGTCCCTACCTCAAAGAAAACACACTTCACTGTTACAAAGATCAACTGGAAATAGGGAAATAATCACTATTTATTCCGAGAATAATATGAAGCCTGTCGTACACTCTGTGGGCATGCAGGATTACTCATTGTTAAAGCAAGTGGTACATATAGTTACCACTGGGCTTAAAGGGTTAACAGTGAGGACCATAATGAGATTCTTTCTTTGTGGAATTTATAGAATATATTATGTCATTGCTTATTAGTATAAAGTGTTTTAGTAGCCTAACTGTAATAACTGAGAGTTGGATTTATATATAATTCTTGAGGTTAGTAGCAGTGGTTCTGGTTCAGTCCTAACCATTAGCACTAATACAAAGTATGAAAACAATAAAAATATCTTTCAGTGTGATGATAATTGATCAACTGAAGGAGGGTAGAACCTGTCTCCAATATGTTGTGTGTATTACATAGACCTCTACAGAACAAAGTTCAGAATTATTTAGTGCAAAGAATCATTGTCATACATGTTTAGATAATTAGTGAGAAGCTGCTTTTCCAGAACTGCAAACAGAAGAACTATTATTTTCTACCTAATAGAAAATTTGCTGTACTTAATTAATTTTCCAGTCACTATAATAAATAAGACCATGCATTTCATTAATTGTATATTTTGAATATGAGAATTTCTAAACACGTATTCCATCTGAATCAGACAGTAGGAGTGAGGGAGGACAGAACTGGATGCAAAGTAAAATACTGATTCACATTATAAAACAAAGGGGAATAAAACGCTTCTCAGATGGATGCCAAGAAATTTATATAGGATGATATTTATTATTAAAAATATTTGAAGTGAGAATAACATGTATTGACCATTCCAGCATATTAGGAAAATGTTTTTCCTGACAATTATATAAAGTTAGTACATTTAGTTAGATATAATATGCAGTATTTGAAAGAAGCAAGAGTCAGGAAAAGACAGGAGTTAGCAAGACATATGTCTGGAAGTGATTCGTTCAATCTTCAAAGTGGATGGATGATACAGTAAAATTGTGTGTGTTTGTAGACTACATCCCTGTAGCACCCTTGGACACTGAGAACCTAATCATAATATAGGATGAGCTTTTCTATGTCCTGTTCATACAATTCTTGTCTTGATCTTTGATCTATCATTTTACTGTTGTTTCCATGGCACCACCTTTGGCTTCCGCTGTGTAGCTTCATCTGTTTATAGTGATGAGGCAACATCTAGGAGTCCCATGTTTATAACTGGTGCCTCCAGCATCTTGATGATATTCTGATTACTTGTTGCCCAACACTCAGTGAATAGTTGTCTGGTGAACATTTTGTATTTACTTAGCTTATTTCAGAAAACATGAAACTATTTCATAAATGCTGTAATATCTGGCTTTAGATAAATCTAAGGGAAACTTTAAATTTTTCAAATTAAGACAGGTTCCTTTTAACAGAACAATGTACTTCTAGATAAGAATTACTGCACATTATGTATCCCATTTATGACTGAAATTATAAAAGAGATATTCTTGCTAAACTACACTGTTACTGAGCTGTACACATTTTTATTGGTTAGTGTACATTCTTTCTTTCTCATACTCCTCATCCACTTTGTTCCATTTAAATGTGCTTCATATATAATGTTAGCACTCAAAATTAATATTTTCCCATTTGTGACAGAATAAATCACAGAACGGTTCTCTTGAAAGAGGCTGTTTCCTTTTAACTTCTTGATTTACATGTTAAAAGCTTCCATTTGTAGGAGGCTATTTTATGTTATTATTCATTCTCTTTTAACTTCTTGACTTACATGTTAAAAGCTTCCATTTGTTGGAGGCTATTTTATGTTATTATTCATTCTTTGTTCTTGTGATCAGAGAAATGTTATGATAAATGGAGGTTTCTGTTTAATTCATGTTTCAATTTAGACAGGTTTTATTATGTAATTCTTTATGTAGAATGGTGTTTTAAATGTCTTCAAGTTGGCACAGAAGTAAGTTTGTTTGCATATCTGTTGCTCTATTATATTCATCTTGATAGAAAAAGAATATTTCTTTTCTGTGTATATAAATCCAACACCCTCAGAAATTATAGTGATGCGGAAGAGTATAAAATGCACCTAGAATATGGCTGCATTCTTCCCAACTTAAGAACCTCAAATCCTACACAATATGCACCTAATAGCAAACTGATAAGTTATAATGACATGCATAATTTGTTTACTCAGTTATTAAATTTTTGTTGTATAAGGTGAAGGTAGAAATTATAACTTTGACATTGAGACTTCATAAAGATCACAAAACTAAGAACCATTCAGTAGTGATAATTTGTTTACATAGTTAAGAGTCACTGAAATTTTAAAAACTTGCCTAATAAATAACAATAAATCATTAAAAAGCTCTTGTGGAAATTATAATTGTGTTATGAAATGAATACATTCCTACATTTTTGGAAATATTAACAACTATATTGACCTTGGTCTTGTCTTACTTTTTGCTTGTAAACACTTGTTGGTGATAATGACAATTTTTATAAGTATTAATAGTAACTGTATTGGGAATTGAGGTGCACAGGGATATTTTAATTGCCCTGTATATTGTATGATGTTAACCTGTGTGATTTATTGAAGTCAAAATTATAATTCTCTATCTTTACTATGTACTATACCTGTGAGGCTCATTTATGGTCATCCTCTCCATAAGTTACTGTCTGTTAAAAGATTACTTCATATAAAACAGTGGGACTGTAATGATTTGATAAAATATACAAAGTTGTTGTTATTTTTTTAAAGAAAAATTCTGTGCCATGGTTGAATGAAACAATGTGGCCAACCATTATCTATGCATTTATTTCATTCACTCTGTGGAAGAACAAATAAAAATAATTCTTTCTACAACAGTCTCAGCCAATGTGTTGTAGTTGGCAGCCCTACAGTTTTATTTTAGTTTTCATGATAAAGTGCTATATGGGCTTTAAAATCATTATATGAGAATAATTAATGGATTATTATGTTAATAGTTTTTGTGTGTCTATTTTTTATAAGTAGGGCAGTCAAAAATGAAGTGATTATATGTCACAGAATGAGTTGTTTCGTGTACAGGTAAGATAATTGACAACCTTCATTCAGTAAAAGTGGAAAGGAAGATCATAGTCTTTTAAATGTTGTGCTTGAATGGTTGTTTTGAATTGGTTATATTCTTAAATGGTGGTTATATAAAGCAATATTGATTTGTGTTTGACATTTTTTGAACATTTTTATTGTCATTTTTCTAATAAGTGACCATTTTCTCTGGGGGGTACAAACTTTTCTTACAGTTAATATTTAATAAGTAACGACAAAACTATTTGTAATAGTATTTACTGTTAAACTGACCTCCAGCTCGCAAGAGCTTTTCATACAATATTATTTTACATTAGTCTGCAAACATTACATTTAAATGTATACTGTTGCAATGCTTATTTTTATATAACAAGGAAATGTATATAAGCCACTATCAGATGTTTTATGTGAAAATGTGATATTGCATTACAGATGTTGTAGTAGACTTACTCCCTTATTGAGCTATGTGATGGTGTGTAGTAGAAATGGTTGAACTCTTGACAATGACTGCTATAAACAAATTTTTGTGTAAGATTAAGAAACTACCAACAAATATTTTCCCCTGACCAAAACACAAATATAACCTACACTGTATCTTTCAGCTAAACATGATATAGACAGAAGAGATTAGAAGGTAGATATGTATGTAGTTTTATGTATAATTTGACTAAGTTGATATTTAGATAGTTCCAGTAGTTGCTAAATCCAAGAATGGATTTTAACATGCAGTTGTTGCCAGTAGAATGTACTGTTTTAGTCTTATAAATTCCCATAATGTAAGAATGAAGAAGAAAAAACAAACTGTTAAATAAATAGAGGTCATATTTATAGATGGTAGGGGACCACATCATTGAAATGATTTCTTCATAAATCACAGTTGCTAATTAATAATGAAATTATAACTTTAATATTATATCAACAAAATTATTATGGCCGGTTTGGTTTGTTTCTTTAGCTTTTGTGGTCATAGCTCAAGATGGCATTTGCTATATAAATACTCAATGAATTTAGCAAAACTGGGTTCCAGAAACCTAATTTAGCCATCTGGCTCTTGGGCCCATCCAGCCTCCTATCTAATGAGTACTGGGGGCCCTTTCCCTGGAGAGTAAAAGTGGATGGGTTGTGAATCTGATCACTCTCCTCCATTTAATGTCAAGGTTAAGAAAGTGTTGAGCTGTACCTCCATGGCCTGAATTATTCATTCATGACTGTTCAGAAGTATGTTCTGTGACAGTTCCGCCCCACAGTTTTCAGATTCATAGTCACACCACATTGTTTCTCTTTTTCCATGCTGTACTTTAAAAAATGTCTCATTCATCCTGTCTTTTGAGTTCTGGTAGCTCCAGCATTATTTTTTTCTTCCTCCCAGGTCTTCAGCCATATTTCTGTGTGCACCACCAAATAGGTTAAGGTAGTGTTGACTGGCTTTCCATAGTTTTTCTCAGTTTCTCCAAGCAAATATTAGTATAATACCTCAAACAGCCCAAAGCTGCGAACTTCCAAAATCTTTTTGAGTTACCTCAGTATGCAGTTTATGCATGTGTGTATTCATACACACATTTACATATGTACATATATATATACACACACACACACAAAAGAAAACTGGTCATATGATACCGTTGTCAGTAAGGACTTGAAATGAGAGTGAGACAGAGACTGAAAGATAAAGACAGCATCCACTAATTGTCATACTGTTTGTTCATGTGACAAACCACTGGACTACTGAGCTTGTTTGTTAGGCCTAGGGTAATGTTTTCAGAACAGAGTTTTTATGCCTTGCCACTTGCACAGCCGTTGATATAGTTCACCCATGCAGATCTCATGTTCTTATTGTGCAAACATAACTCTACAATAATGCATTATTACTTTAAAGCCGGCCACTGACCAACGTTTTAGTGTGACACCAGGATGAAAACACTGAGAAACATTTCACTGTAGTACAATATTAATTTTACAAATAATATAGTATTGTCACAAAATAATTTGGTCTTAACTGAGTTTAATATTTTAGGATGCACTAGAGATAATTGTTTGTGGAATTTCTCAGACAGTGACATTTACATTGAAATGTGTATTGAATAACTATAGCTATTTATTTTACAGAGTTAGTATATGTGTTTTGCCTCACAGAGTATGGATAATTCAGTGTCTATTTTCAAGGTATGTGTGGTACCCTTGGCTCTACTTGTATTATTAATTGGCAACCATGAATTCAGAATGATAAGACCATTTCAACAATTTGATGAGTAAGTGTATTGTGCATTTGTAAATAACATAGCATATACTTCTACATACTCATGTACACATCAAGAGGCCTTATTGTATACTACAGTTGTACTACTATTATTATATGCTGCCTGAAGAAAGTTATTTGTACAGAATTCATCCGAATTGATGTTTCCTGTCCATCCTCACAAACGCTAAACACCTTCTGTGGAGTTCCATAATGCATTTTGTCCATATTCAATAATGACTGCCATGTTAACATGTCATCATTTTCAAGAGTCCAGATTATATTTCAGTTGTGTCCAAAATAAATCATTCACACTGATGTCTCATTTTATGAAAGGGGTGTATGCTTGTATGTTATGCGAAAAGTAATCTCTTATTAATTCAGGGACTCAGATCTACATGAGCCAGTATAACTGACTCAGTAAAGTGAGGTTTTCACAGCAGTCAAAATTATGATGATACCAATATTTCAGGGAAATCTACTGTCTGTCTCCACCATTGGGACTGACTGGCTAAGGTCAGGATGTTTGGGGTGAAGGTGATTTCACAAAGGGGTGTATCTATATATTTTGGAAATTTACCTGTTAGTAGATGCATCTTGTTCTTGGTAATGTCTCCATTTTCAAATTAATTTCTTTGCTATTAGCAGATTAATTTATTGAAACTGTCTATTTGGATTGCTGCCACTTCCACCAGTAACCCCAAAGTAACAACCAGAGTCAATAGAGGTGGTTTCTTACCTGAGGAAGTTCCATTTTTTAGTGCATGCGTCACTGCAGAATGTTTTACAACTGAATATTCCAGGGAATTATCTTTATAGCCAGAAATAAAATGGTATGGTGCTGTATCACACTTGATTAAAATACTTAATGGCACATTTGTATAGCCACACATGTCAGCAGGTAGCATGGGCTGGCCTTTACTAGGGTATTCTCTTTGAAATTACATAAGGAACTTCTGTTACCAGGCTTGCATGGGAACAACGTGAAGGTGCTGATATATAGAAGGGTGCTTTCAGTAAATTTCTACCAAATTACACATTGCTACAACCCATAAGACACCTATCTGCATACTTGCCACTGTGAGAACCTCAAATCCTTCATTAGTCATTGTTGTCTGCTGGTATTCTTATGTACTATGAATTGTGTGCACATTGATAAAATCTTGACTGTGTGGCATAATTGGGTCAGGGATTTCAATGAAAATTGGATCAAGGGAAAGCAGACGCAAAATAAAGATACACCTATTTTCCCCTTTTCTTGTGTTAGACTTCCGCTCTCATTATTAACCAACATTATAACTGTAATATAATTGTATTAAACTTTACCAAGCCCAGCAGCCAAGGAGTTATAATTATATGTTCCTAATGTGTAGGTACATGGCTCAAACTGGAAAGTAAAGGAGTCAATTTTATTCAAGTAAACATTTAACAAGTTATCATGAATGCCTACAGATTTAATATTTCCATTCCATTGTATTTCATAGTATTGTATGAGTTGTAAGAAAAGTAATTACTAAAAAAAATTATATCATCAATCATATCAATAGCTTACAACTGAATTAAATTGACTAATCAATTGGTTATGATTTATATCAAATATAAAAGTAATTTAAACATAGAATTTTTAAAATATTAATATAATTAGTGCTGCCACTAACTAACTGATTCAGGAACTACATTGCCTTTCAATAGAATGCATTGGTCATTAACATGGGCGACATTTTTGAAAATTCGGACTAGTTATGAACATTGAGTAGGTTTGTATAAACTAACACGTTATTTTGAACATTAGTTTTCTCATAAAATACAGAATCGATTCAAACAGAAATCGAACAGTTAGTGACATCCAATCACGGTGAAGCACTACAGGTGTGTCTTTCGTCAGAGGCCGGAAGTAATTTGTGCAGAGAAGGTGGAGGAACTGGTAGTAGAAGACTGTAAGACAATATGGCTTTGCGATTCGAAGATCAGCAATTATCATCGTTCTGTATTTTGCAGATAAAGTGTATGTACCAACACTTGTATCGTATTTTGTCAAAATATTTTCTCGAGAAATATTTAGGGACGATGGAAATCCACTAACTAGAATTTCAAAGTGGTGGCCATCTTGGTATATTAGGTATTCTAATAAGAATTTCAAAATGAAGGAAATTACCTAATTTAGAAATAAAATTACAACAGGAACATTGCTTTTGTTTAAGGCTACGTGTATTGACATGCTCTATTAGACGTAACTAAGTAATTACAGAAGTATATTAATTTGGATATAACTACGCCTGAATTTGGGAGACACGTGTGGAAACATGTCAGTATAGGCGTATACCTATGTAAAGATCGTTCCTGAGGTACCTAGTGGACTATAATAATGCTTGTATTTATGTTAATTCTTAATTATTGAGCACACTAGACTGCATGGCTCTTCGTCTGCAGTTTCCGTGTACAACTCAATGGTCATGTTTGTAGAGGCTCAAGTACTTGAGACACTTCTTTTCATGCGTTTGCAGTTTTGCCTCTCGCTCTCGGGAAAGAAGAGAAGTTGCGGCGCTACATGCCACAAGACAGCCATCTTTCTATTCACCACCATGAGAACCTCAACTCGTCTGAACAGAATGTACGTTTTGGCTGCTCATTTTAGTATTATGGCATTGTTCCTCTTGCAAAGTAATTCTAGGCTTATAAGTCAAAGTGAGACTGGACTCAGGAGACACCAACAGCGTTGAGATAGGTAGAGGTGTAAGACAGGGATCCTGCTTATCACCAGTTCTTTTTAACCTGTACGGGGAATGGCTTGCCAAGGAAGCTCTGGAGGGAACAGGAGACTTCAAAATTGGAGGAAGAGTGATAAAGACTGTAAAGTATGCAGACGACTTAGTAGTATTGGCGAAGGAAGAGGAGGAATTACAGAACATGATGGACAAGTTAGTGGAAACAGGTAGAGAGTATGGAATGGAAATCAACATTGAAAAATCAAAGGTAATGAGGATAGCACCGAGAGCAGAACCATTGAACATTGTAATTGGAAACCAACAGATGGAGAATGTGGAGCATTTCAAGTACGTGGGAAGCATAATCACGACGGACGCCCTATGCACCAAGGAAGTAAAAGCAAGGATAGCCATGGCCAAGGCAGCTTTCGTCAAGAAGAG